TTTCGCCAGTTTCCTTTTAGGTCCCAGTCAAAATTATTCTCACTGAAAAAGAACCAGACCATACTAGGCTACTCAGGGGGAATGATCTTGTTCAGTAAGCACTTTGGATCACACGGTTCTCCCAGATCTTATCGGACATGAACTGCTCTCTACTTACCATATTAGACTTATACTTTTTTTTCATTTTTTTAATCAGTATCACCCCAAGCAAGCCAGTACAGTCACTAGCACGCAAGGGGTTACAGGATGTGCAGTAATCAGGAACAGAAACATTAGTAAAGAAAAAAAGTGATCAAGAGGATTGTAGATAGCGATTGACACTGCATTTAAATTTTTACAGATTAAAGTTGGTTGGAAATTATGAAGCTGGTGGGGGGTTTCCACAAGCGAGAAGTGCTGGATAAGAAACTATTAGCATAGAAGTTACAGCTACACCTAACTAGCTCAACTGTAAATTGATGAAATCTCACCACCCGTCTAGTATTGCACTTAAATTCATACAGTCTAGGTACCATAGCATAGAACTCATCCAAACAATTACCATGAAAATATATATAAAAATAGGCACAGAGAAGCAACCTTAGATCAGTGAGCAAGTGACTGAAGCCAAGCCATGAGATCAGAACCAATAATATTGTTGATTCTTCTTTGGATCTTACGGAGAAGTGCCAGGAAAATAGCAGTGGCACCAGATCATATATGGCAGCAATATTCTAAGCATAGACAAATGGTAGATTTATTAATACGCAAGATAGATTCCAGGATGGAAAAATTGTCTTGCTCAACACAGTGGACCAACTTTCTTAATAGTTGATCTATCGATGGATTCAATGTAGTCTTTCCAACTCATATTAGCTGAGAATGTTAGCCCAAGAAGTTGCAATGAATCACTTTCTTGGAGGATAGCATCAGCCATGCAAATGGAAGGCAGAGAGGGGCTCTCTCAGATGATTAATAGAGAGAAGTTTACTTTTGGAAGCGTTAAAATTGACAAGCCATCTTTTTCCCCAATTAATGGCAGTCTTCAGATTGTTTTTTACTATATGAAATGATGTCACTTAACATCTGACTTATCTCCACCAAAGAGAGATAATCGCCTTTTGTATCCCTCAGGTCTGTTTACCTTGAACAACATTTGAAAAATCTTTGCTTTTATATAGGTTAGAGCATGAGTAATTGGTTCAGGTGGGAAATATACAATAGCCACAGCTGATCATTCAGTCCTGACTGCAATGAAACACCTTTTTATTATATATACAAATATATTCAAACTAATATCCTCATCTTTGTTATTATCATCACTACTGCTTTCCTCTTCATACTGAATAAAATTCTATGGAGAATATTTATTTTTTGTTTCATCCCAAGCAAGGCGATAATTCCATTAGAACATGGGAGGTTACAGGGAGTAAAAGTGAAAGACAAGACTGAGAATGGGGAGGGCAAAAATGGAACTGGGTTAAAGAAGGCAGAAGATTGCAATTAATGTTGCATTTAAATTTTTGATGATCGTAGTTATCAGGGAAGCAAGAAATCAAAAGGAAATTCCCCAAGTGGGAAGTGGGGGGAAAAAGAAACTGTTACAGTAGAAGTGACAGTTCCATCTGTCTGGTTCAACGGTAAAATAGTGAGACCTAATTATCAATCTAGTAACAGATTTAAATACATATAGTCAGAGCACCAGAGAAAAAAAAAAAAAAAAAAAACCACACATCAGAGCAGAAAACATTTGTAGAAAATACAGATGGAAGCTATGTCTCGTTGATGTGAAAGTGACTGAAGTCGAGATGCCTGGTCAGGATCGATTATATTACAGACACTTCTTTGGATTTTATCAAGAATATCAAGATGTGCAGCAGGAGCACGAGACAAGATATGGCAGTAGTATTTAATGCATGGACAAATAGTAGATTACATTTACCTGGGGATTATGAGTTCAATCTCTGGGTGAAGCAGAAAAATTCATATGCACTGATTCAGTGGAAAAAGCAAAAGGCAGCATCAGTCAGTCAGTTATGTGCCATGTGTGATACACGCTTAGGCGATTATGTATCTTTCCATACATGACTGACAAGGCAGTAGTTTGCCATTACTTTCTGTGGTAGACCGGTAGCCATCCAAGACTATAGAACCCAATCAGTCTTGCTATTTACCCATAGCTGGGGGGAGAGGAGGATTCATAACTTTCCCAAGGGTATTAGCATGTAAGCAAATCTAATGGATTTGACAGGAATTCAAACTCAGCTCTCTGATTCCTCAACCCAAGCCGCTATTACTCCACTGTGCCTCCTCTTAGGGTAAATAGGACAGACCGGGTTCTATAGCCTTGGATGGCATCTGGTCTACTGCAGTAAGAAATGGTAACCTACTGCGGGAAAAAATCTGCCTCGTCAGTCATGTATCGAAAGATACATGATCGCCTAAGTGTGTATCACGCATGGCACATAACTGACTGAAGGAAGCATCACAAGGATGAATTAATCGATATAAGATAATCTGTTTTCACATGCATGGACAGCATAATGTAAACATTCTGGATTGACAGAAAAAAAAAAAGTTTTGTTTAAATGTTACCAAATACAAAATCCATCAAAAAAAATAAACTGAAAGGTAAAAATGGATGAATGAAGAAGAGAACAGCAGTTGAAATAAATCCAAGAATAATAAGAATTTCTCTTGTTAGAAATTCAAGCAGAAACTCAAACACTTGTTAATGCTAATATATCTTTTTATTCTTTTCTTTGTCTTTATTTATAAATGTGTAGATGTAGAATGAAGACCAAAAATAAAAGATAGTCTGTTGGGCCACATGCAACCATAAAGACGAATATGACTAGAGACGTTTTTGACAACCGAGAAATCCTCCCTCAGTTGTCAATAACTATGGAAATTTGGAATTAGAAATTAACTCTTTGATCCTGAAAATATCTGAAAGTGTAGAAAAGTATGTTATGTAAAGAATCATATTGCTGATTTCATTGGGCACTTCGACATGGCGTAATGGTTAGAAAGCTTGTCTTGCTAGATCAATTACGACTGAGTAGTGAGTTCGATCATCACTGGGTGCCCCATACTTTCGGCCTTGTGCCACATTTAAGCCGGGCTTAGAAAATCACTATTGCTGATTTCGTTTTTGTGGTTTGTCTCCTGATATGAAAACAACTAGGATTACCTCCCATGTACACTGTCTTCATGAAACAGGTAATTGGTGTCATTTGATTTTCTGGTGTATATAAATGGTTAATCTAGATTTTACAAGTTTGTCCTTTAAATTGAAATTTTGATAGTGATTCTCTTCAGTTGATTTTGAGATGCATGACAAGGAAACAAAATCTGCATGATCATTATGGAACCCTCCAAAAAAAAAAAAAAAAAAAAAAAAAAATGGTTCCCATTTAGAATTTAATCAATAAAATGATTTAATTCCATTACACTCATATCTTTTCAAAGAATTTTTTTAATTGCTAGAAAATTCAAGTTATTTTTCTGTTTTTTTCTCTATCTTTTATAATTAATTTTTTTTTGCATAGTGGCCACTTAAATTGATTAGCCTTTAACTGAAATACAGCTTATATCTTAAAATAAAAAAATAAAAAAAACAAACAAAAAATAATTCTATTTAATTTTCTGGTGACAAAATTCTGTTAGTTTTATTCAAGACTATCCTTATCTTTGTTGTCACTGACAGAAAAAGAAGTGAAATGTGAATAATATTGAATATAATTTAGTAATAATATTATAAACTTTAATTAAAACTAATTTTTATGTTGAATTGAAACATTATTATAAAACACAAAAACTGAAGAATGAGGTTACACTCTTGAGACAAACATTCTGTGATGTTAATTGATAAAAATGAACAGGTATATTTAAAAAAATGAGTAACTAAATGGTGATTGGTTCACTTCTGTTTGCTGCATATTTGATCTAACCAATCAACTTTAACCATGAGGTACATTACACACATTATATAGCTAACACACAAACACACATATATATATATATGTATATCAGTTAGTAGAAAAATACAATGAGTATAAGAACTTATGAAGTTTAAGGCAAAAAATCACTTTATTTTTAAAGCAAAGATATTCTCTATTTTAGTGGTAATTTAATGTATGAAAAAATATCTGCAATATTTTCTTTAACAAAAAAAAAAAAAAAAAAAAAAAAAAAACAAAAACAAACAAAAACACTAGAACAGTTCAAAAGTTGATCGTATGTTGAAGGGTTTTAATGTTAATTTTGTTTAGAATTATTTTTTAAAACTGGGCCTTAGATTTTAGATTTGCATTAATGAGTTCAGAAACAAGTCAAAGAGAGAGAGAGGGAGGGAAAAATCATCTTGTAAGAAAAGCAGAAAATAATAAATTTTTGATCAAGTGATGGTAGATATAGGATTAAATAAAACTGTTTATAGAGATTTTCACTGATATTTATTCATTGATCGTGCTTATCCAGGCATCGACATAGAAATATACCAACATAATCAAAAATTTAAGTGAATTATTTACTATTCAGTCAAAACTTTCCATGTATCTATACAGTAGTAACATTTTTTACTTATTACTATAGAATGCATTTTATTTTGGCAAATCGGTATTTTTTTTTTTAGATCATGTTAAAAAATACTAATTAAACAAATAAAATAAAATTATCTTTTTTTTTTATATCTTTGTTTTCCATGACTTTGAAAAACTTAATGCTGCGAAAAATTTAAGTAAATGATTTTTTTCTTTTTATATGGTAAAAAAAAAAAAAAATGATCAAAATAAATTTCAGAAAAATTAATTCTATGTGTGTGCATGTGTATTAATGAATGCAAGGGAGAGAAATAAGATTATGGTAACAATGATTTCAGTATTGGATGGAGACAAGTTCACTCTTGAAGTGAAATATCTGGGTTAATGGTAGAAGGCAGAAATGGAAGAGAATCCAGCAAATTTATTCATGGTGATGAGGATGTTCAACATGGTCCACATGGCTGATATCATCTCTGTTCACATTTCATCAAGCTGCAGATAAAGAAAGAAAAGAGAAATAAAATTAAAACATGAATCTGAAATAATTTTTATTTATTAATGTATAGGATAAGGAACAAACAGGAAATACTTTTTTTTTGCTTTTATTTAAGTTTCATTAGAAAATGAAATAAAGAGGAGAAAAGAAAATTCTGGTATTTTTATTCTTGTGTTCTTTGGTTGGGCAAATCTCACATGTATCTGTCCTGGCGAGTAATGTTCATGTGTATAATTCATGCGTGTTTGCATATCAGAATTCTAGTTGATCTATGTGGTTTGGTTTGGTTTACGGCATATCAACCTCAATGGGTTATTTAATGCCGACAAAATTTTTGTGGCTGGTAATATTGCTTTTTTTTTTCTTTTTTTTTTTAAAAAATGTATTACTGATAATATTTTTTCCTTCAAAAAATCCATTTCTGGCAATATGTTTCTTCAAAAATGTAATGCTAGCAATAATTTTTTTACAAAGTATTTCTGGTATTAAAACCCATTTTTGCACTTTCATAGTGTTTTGATCCCAGTTTGGAGGTTAACTATTTGCCTATAGCTAACAGGTGTTACCATTCCGGGTCAGGGTGGACCTGGGAACACCAGCAATTGTGAGGTGGTTCCACACTCCTCAAAAGCTTCCGATCAGAAACCTTGCTGCTGGACATAGTTTATCGTCATACCCAGAACAGTGGTCTATGTGGGATTTGGTTGATAATGCATGCATGTTTGAGCATCTAGTGGCCATTTTCATCTATGTCTGATAGATGTCCGTATATTGATAGTAGGATGTTTTGTGCGAGTGTGAAAGAAACTAAACTGATTATGGCTGTAGGCAGACAGATCTGAGATCCTTTAAGTATGGATTTTATAAAAGTTAGTGATACAATAAAGTGCATTTGATGTGTGTCTATATATGGCAAAATTTTTATCAAGACTCCTACTAAGTATTTCCTACATAATGTATTATGTTCTTTTCTAATTAAAGTGGCATGTATAAAAATCAAAGTTATGGCCTGTTTTGTTTCTGTGTTACAAGTGAGTTTAAATGGTTGTCTCAACACAGGTTTCTCTCATGTTCATATATGCAGGCTTTTAGATTTCTAGAGGTTTCATTTATGTAGCTTTTCCTACATTGCAGACATTTTATATCAAATTCTTATATCTGATCTGATGTTGGATCTATTTTTCTTTCTAGCTATCTGCCTTGAAGGTGGTGGTAAAGACATGTAAAAAAAGTGTAAGGAGTCAAATATTTTACTAACAATGTTCTGCAAGATTAGTTCACAAACATTTGTTTAATGGCATATCAACTCCTTCATGGTTCATTTAATGTCAAAATTAAATTTTCTTGATAGCTTTAAAGTAATAAAAATATGAATTATTCTGCTTTCACAATAGAATACATGATAGATGATACTCAACTTTTGTACATAAAAATGTTTGCGTGGACATAATTACTAGATGCAGTGATATGTGTGTTTTATGTTGTCGTTTTGTTGAAGTTATATTTTGGAATACAGTTTGATTTAAGAAATTGTAGGATATTACATGGAATAATGTTAGTTGTCTGGTTGATTTTGTTTAGCAGCATATCAACCACTATGAGTTATTTAATACCAAAATCTAAATATTTTGAATGCAATTGTATGCTTTCAATCACAGATAAATGTATAGTTGGTCATTTGACTATAAATAGGTAATTTTACTATAAATATATATTTTAGGTACCTACACTAATTCGCAATACTTAAGGTTTAAAATGAATTTTAAAAATTCAAAAAACTTTAAGCTTTCATTTTAGATTTAGTTGAAAGCTAAAGGATTAAATTTACCATTTCCAGTAAACAAAATACTCTGTATTGTATTCCAAACAAAAATTCTATTGATTGGAGTCGATTCATTTTTTGGGGGGCAAAAAATAGCTGATTAGTGCCCTTTTTTAGCCATCTGTCATTGTAGTGAATTTTTCTTTATCAAAGATACTTTTCTGAAACTTGGGTAATATTAGCTGATTTAAGGTATAAATTAATCTCATTTGAAAAAAATATTTACTTTAAGTTGAAAATAACAGAAATGGATTTTTAAAACTAACAGTAGCGGTGATTTATGTGATTTTCATCGCCTGTCAATCACTTAACAAGCACTGATAAGGTGTTGGCATGTTTATTGTTGTTCTATGGAGACTTTATCTGTTAAAACATAATTTAAGAAAATTTTGAGTGAATGCTATTTTTATATAATTTTTAAGTACTCAGTAATCTTAAATATGTTGGAAACATTATCTGTAATCTAATTTTAGGAATGTTGACTTTAAATTTAATATAGTCATTGATCTTATTTTCTGATAATGTCATGTATAGTCACTCATACTTTCCAAATGGGTATGTTTATATACATAAAATAAAATTTTAAATTATTTCAAAAATCTTAGTGTGTGATGATCTGTATTAAGCTTTTCAATTTTCACTTAGTAAATATAGTCTTAACTTAATAACCTCATGATGACAAAGTTCTAAAGAATTTTGAAACTTTATAAATTATTATAATTAAAAAAAAATGAAAACAATTTTTGTAAAAATTAATTATTCATCAAAAAAATGTTTCTTTTCTTCAGACTATAATATATATTTATAAAAACAATTAAAAGCTTATCTAATTAAATAATTGGATAGTTTTATTGCAGTTTTTATATTACTATTTGGAGTAGATTTTGGGGAAGTAGTAACTGTTTGAAAAAAGAAAATAGATGATTTATATTTTTCAAGAAGTCCTGCATTTAACTAATAAAACAAATTTGGACAATTGAATTTAATTTTGAGAAATTTCATGAAATCAACTGAGTGTGTGTGTGGGGGGGTGTAACAGATGTAAAAAAAAAAAAATGTCTTTACCAAAATTTTCTAAAAATAATAACTTCAAAAATTATTCCATTTATTTATGTATAAGTCCTAAACATTTTATTAAAATCTGACAATTATTTGATTTTTGCAAGAATTTCCAAATTAATGTATTATTTTTACCAGAAAAAAAAGGTGCTAAAATTTCTATAGCTAGTTCTGTTACACTGTTCACACATTTTTAAAAAAAAAAAAAAAACTTAACCAAAATTTCAAACTTGTTAGAAAGGAGTAAAAAAAAAAAATTTAAAAATTATAAATAAAAAATACTTTGGTCTTTCCTCTTAATAATAACATAAATATTTTGATGATAAAACTTTGTTTTATGAAGTTTGGCGCATTTTTTTTTCATCATGGTATGCTCTTTTTTCAGCAAATTAGTAAAGGTACCTAAATGTATTTTTGTACTTTCATGGTGTTTTGTTTTTGTTTGGAGTGTTCACTATTTACCCGTAGCTGAGACCCTAACAGTTGCTACCACCCCAGGGTGAGCCTGGGAACAACAGCAATTAAGAGGTGGTTTCACACACCTCAAAACCCCCAATCTCCTAATCAGAGCTCTTGCTGCCGGATGTATGCAAACACTTGTAATAAAACTGTTCTATTAGAAAGAATAGACTACTTCATCTATATATTCTCTTTGGACTTTTCATTTGTTTTTGATTTGATAAGCCTTTACTATAGTACAAGAATTCTTTTTTTTTTTTTTAGAGCAAATAAGGATTTAACTTCCTTATTTCATTTTCTTTCCACAGAAGAATAATAAAAAAAGCAACACACGAAATAATGCCACAAAACTACTTGACTAGACATACTTTGATTGTTCTGTTCAACAGAAATGTATATGCAGGTAACACTCATTGGTACATAGCCCAACAAGTCAGTGTGCCAATAGGCATTGTGTCATCTACTTCATTAAAGTTTTATAATATTGTATTGGAATGGTTCTGCAATCATTACTGACAAATTCAGACAATGTGCCTGAATTTCATGTGAAATTTGGCAAATTACCAACTGGAACCTTTAAAGATGCTTTATAGACTTTTGGTGACATGCATTTCAAGATCAGTCACATATCACTTCAAGATGAAGAGTGTTCAGAGTAACCAAAGAAAAGGTGAAAAAAAATTTGTGAAAATAATCCAAGATTGGAATTTTCAGATACAAGCTCACAGACACACACAATAATATATATATATATATATATATATATATATATATATATATATATGAAAATAGAATTAGCATTAACTCTGCAAACAAAAATATTCAACAACAATATATATATATATATATATATATATGAAAATAGAATTAGCATTAACTCTGCAAACAAGGAAATATTCCAACAACACAATGGCAAACCTCTTATGTAGCGATTTGGAATCATATTTTAAATAAATAAATATATATATATATATATATATATATATATATATATATATATATATATATATATGGCCTTTTTCATTGATGCCAACAGTTGTCAGAGGAAAATAAGTTATCTAAAAACAGTGCTGCTCATGATTAAAACAACTAATGTGTGATCAGCATGGTTTTGACCATCCATAATGGGGCATTTGTGTCTTTGTCTGGTCTTCTCTTCATAGCTCTTTTCTCCTGCAAAAACTGCAGCTCTCCACCCCACTCTCCAACCACATCCCAGTTCACAACATTGACAGAGAATTCCATCATGGAGGTTTTACACTGATCTTTGAAGCATTACGCGTGCCCTCAGACAGTTCCCCCATACAGTATCTGTTTTGGAATTCTGGAGTTATCCATATACAAACAGTCTCCATGCCACCCGAGATTCCAAGACTGCATGATGGGATATAGTAACTGAATGCTAGCTCTTTTTAACACTTTTGTATCTGGGACACTATCTTGCCATTTAATTTTTAAAAATATTTCTTAAACATCTCATGTGAAAACTACTTAACCTCCTCTCCTGACCACAAACACATTTTATACATACATTTTCACTATGTATTGAGCCGTCTGGTAGACAGTAATGTGTATAATATGTTCAAAATTCCCTTTCTCCGTAGCATGCGCTGATGGCTTAAGGGTGAGAGTCTTTGACTCATGTCAAATTGGTCAGGTTTCAATCCTGGCTTGAAGCAATCACAAGTCTAGTCACGCTGATGAGCTATGATACAGTAAAAAAGTCTGTAGGTGGATGACTATATATATATATATATATATATATATATATATATATATTTAGACATGTCTGATTGAATAAATTACAGATATTGTGTCTGCTAATTTTTAATAAAATCTGTTCATACTCACGGATAACCTTCCGTGTATTGATGTTAGTGTGCATGATGTAGCAATTAATGCATTTTCTATACATTTTTATCTCAGTAAATTGCTTTCCCTTTTAATTAGAGTAGTATTTTTAAACCAAAATTATGGTTAGATTCAATACGGTGAGCAATTAGTGCATTGAATGTATTGTTTGGTAAAAGATCCCTTTTGTGCTCATAAAATCTTTTATCTACACTCCTTGAGATTTCTCCAATGTATTCCTTGTGACAATTATTAAAAGGTGATCAAGTACATTTCTCCTTCAAGTTTTACACTATTATTATTATTGTTTTGTTTTGATTCTTTTACTGTTTTAGAAGTAGTTGGAAGAAATTTTATAAAAAAAAAATTACAACCAATTAAAATGTCCTTTATTTATTTATACTGTCACTATATAGACACACAAATAATCCAAACAATCATTTTTTATATATAATTTTGACATTATTATAAATTCCCCAATAATCACATTATCTATCTCTATTTTATATATATATATATATATATATATATATATATATATATATATATGAAGAAACTTATCACTTAACTGAATAGTATTATTTCAGTCATGCTGTTTTTATGAGTGCATTGTAGTAATGCCTTCACTCTTCTGGGATATATATATATATATATACACACACACACACACATATATATATATATATATATATAAAAGAGTAAAGATTAACAAATACAGATCAGTTGTTCTCTCAACCCTTCTCTATGGTGCTGAAACATGCACCCTGTACCGCAAGCACATAAATCAATTTGACGCCTTTCACATGCAATGTCTTTGTGCCATGTGATATAAAATGGCATGACAGGGCCAAGAATAGTGCAATACTGAAGAAATGTAACAACATCACAAGCATTGAAACCATTCTAGCAAAGATACAACTTAGGTGGGCTGATCATGTTGTGATAATAGATGAGCATAGGCTTCCAAAGAAGGTGCTGTATGGACATCTACCAAACTCCAAGCATTCAGTTGGACATCCACTCTTATGTCTCAACTTTGATCTGAAAACCTGGGAAGCCCAAGCATCAAACCAAAAGGAGTGGCGTAAGACATGTTTCATTAAATTAAAGGGTTTTGAAGGCAGTAGATTGAAGCACTGTGATCAGCTTCGTCAAGCTCTAAAGCAGAGATGCCATGAAAATCCTGCTTTAATAAATTTCATCTGGCAGTGTGGCTTTGTCGGCCGCAGCAAGTATCACAAATGAAATATTTCTTTCTCTTACCTGATTTTCTCCACAATGGGCCCTGCTAGCAAGCATAAGTGTAAAACAAAAGGCACCATCAACTGCTGACCCTCATTTATCATTCACAATAGGAGAGTCCACCATATATATATATATATATATATATATATATATATATATATGTTCTTTCTCTTTGATACTATGTTTTGTTGGGTTTTTTTCTCATATTCTCTCACACTCAATAACCCCTTGTGTCTTAGTGGCTTTATTGCTTTGCTTGGGGTGATATGATTAAAAAAAAAAAAAATTGTAATTTCTTTCATTTGAAAAATCTATATGATTGATAAATGTCAGGAATGTCTTTACTAAAATGAAAGAGAAAAACTTACCAGATCCTCTGCAGAGTCCTGATCATTGCTTGCGTCTGTTTTAGCAGGTGCTTGCTCTTTGCAAAGGAATTTTTCGGCTTCTTCCAGAGTCATTGAACTTCCTTCACAGTCAACTTTACTGATGAGACTTTGTTTTTCTATAAAAACAAACAAAATACTTTTTATCAGCAGATTATATCACAGCTATAGAGATTGGCAAAATTGTAGAATTAAGACTATATTGCATAATTCTCATTCTATGATAATGGTTTGAGTTTCTGCTGACAATGCAAAAAATACAGTTAAAAAGTTTCCTTCTTTTTACTTGTGCTTTTATAGAAGTCAAAAGAAGAGTTATACTTCAAGGATAATTTGCAACTGCCTTTGGAGACAAAGACGGAAAAACTTAGAAAAAACTTAAACAAAGTTTAGTTTGGTTAAAATTGTACAATGCAACTGCAATAAGAATTATCGATACAAACTTGGCTAAGAGTGAAAGAGTATGGATTATATACAAAAGAGATTGTTACAAACAAATCTGAAAAACATGTAATGAACTGTTCTGAAAGCTCTTAAATGACATTCACGGTCACTGAATGTTACTGGCAAAGCTGAGTTTAGTCCGGTACAAGGCCATAATAAGGGAGCAACTGTTATTTTCAACATTATTCACTAATCTACACCTTTTACTTTTTCTTTGGAGTGATTCAGTCAACCATTTAAAATGACTCCAACCTTCTTAGAGATTTGATTTTCAGTGAAAAATTCTTTTATTAGATTTCGAATAATTATTAAAATGTATGCAAATCATGTGCAGCTCAAACAGAAGCATTTTTAAAATCAGTAACACTGTTTTTGTTCTTATAAAGAAAACACTGGCTTTGATCAAAAATCAATGAACTAGAATCATATATACACTCTTTTCTGGGAGGCTTAAAAACTTGAGTTATTTGTTTTATTAAACTATAATAAAGTAGAATTTAATTATCTCAGGTAGTAGATAGGGGTTCAAGCTCCCCTATGGATAATATTAAACCATCTATGTAGGCTCAATAATTAAAATTGGGAAATTATCAATTTATTTTTAAAACAAAAACATTTTTCCTGTTTTTACTAGAAAGGAAAATTCCCAAAATCTTTTTCATTACAGAAAAACAAATTTTCATTATTGGTAGTGTTTTAACAAAGACAGAAAGGTGCATTGGAATAGTGTAAGGAGCCTTTCAAAAGCTAAGCAATGTATTAAGAAATGGGAAAAATTCCTCAGAAACAAAGTAAGGAGTACTGAATTGTTATATAAGTCCTCCTGTATGGCAGTGAATTCTGGACAGTCTCCTCATGAATGAAGAGGAGAGTTGAGAGGATACCATGGACTGAACATGTGAGCAATGACAAAATTCTAGGGAAAATGGAAATAAAAAGAAAACTGATACTTAACATCAAGAAGAGACAGTTGAAAATTCTAGGGCACATAATGAGGAAAGAGGGACTGGAAAATTTGAAACTCACAGGACAAATTGAAGGCAAGAGGGGAAAAAGGAAAACAATGTATAATTTGAGTGAACTTCAGTAAATGGATGGTAGAACAATGTTTAGGAGAAATTTAAGAGCTGCAAAAGAGGAAATTGTGGAGAGCCATGATCACCAATGCCCTGAAGGGACAGGGGCATATAAAAGATAACATAGAATCAGACTGTTCTAAAATCAATATTTAATTGGTGATATTTTCCTATAAACTGTAAGATCATTTAACTCCTCCTCATTAAGAAAGCTATTGGACTTGGAAGCCAATTATAAAAATTAAATTATTAGACAAAACATTTCAGTTGTCAATGAAATTTATCTGAATTTTTACCCTTTGGATCAGATGCAGCAAATTTTGATGGCTGTCAATTTTGCTTATATTTTCAAGATACTATTATTGTTCTTATATATATATATATATATATATATATATATTGTTCAGAATGTTGTCCTCATCTTTGTTGACATATTCACATTTCAGCTGTTGTATGCTCTGGCTTTCTTCAGGTGATTGGAATTTCGAACAACCCTTTATTTTGGCCACCAGAGTAGATTTTTCTAGTTCCACATACCATGCTTCTTCCAGGTATCTCAGTATCAGTTATTTCCCTTTAACTCAACTCTCCAAGTCATTGTTTGCCTCAGCTGTAGCCACTAGTCACTTGATTACTTCAACCAACACTTTATCCAATGGGCCATGTCTCATTGAGCAAACAAGGACCAAAACATTGTGAATGTGGCAACAAAAATGAGTGTAATAGTCTGAACAATGTAAGTAATGTAAATAATTACAATAGCTCATCTTAGAAATATAGACATATATATATATATATATATATATATATATATATATATATATAGTAATAGTAGTAAACCATAAAATCCCAAATTACTTCATATGGGGGTATAGACCTATTTCAATCGACAATAACTTTGTCAGTTTTATTCAACCCTAGTATACAAACTGAATTTGTGCTGGAATTAGAAATTTAACTGTGACATCAGTCAAAAATTTAATACAGAATTTATCCATTTCAATGTTTCAGTCAGACAAAAGGCACAAGACAGTCTGTATATTAGGATTGAATAAGATTGACAAAGTTTTTGTCGGTTGAAATAGGTCCATACCCCATATGAGGTAATTTTGGATTTTATGGTTTACTACTATTTATCTGCACTGTATAATAAATACATTGAGCTCTTTTGGGGAATCAGTTTTAGTATCTTATATTACTAGGATCCACTTGGATTATATACCAACGGATTTATTACCTTTACTATATATATATATATATATATATATATATATATTTTTTTCATATAGAAAAAAAAATTACTCACTACAAAGATGCAACTTCATTTCAGTGCACTTAAATGGTACTTCAAAAGGTGAGGACCAAAATTCATATATATATATATATATATATATATATATGAAAATATATAGAAAATAGGAAAGAACTGGTTAGGTAAATAATCCAAAGTTCCTTAGTATTTTAGTTATTATTTTTAAAAAATAGTGCTCGATACAAAAGTAGAGCATGAATATATGAGACCTCTTATGTCATGAAGTTAGAATCATATTTTTAAATAAATAATTATATATATATATATATATATATATATATATATATACACACACACACACTATATTGTTCACTCAACACAAGGCTGAAGAGCCACTCAAGGGCAATGAAAGAATTTACCATAAGGGCATAAAGGAAGATAGGAAGAAGTGCATATTATGAGGATATGTAGGATAGATAAGAGTTGATCCTAGATTTGAAGAGATTAAGATCACAGTGATCAGGAAAACATCCTTTTGGGAGTCTGTTCCACAAACTAAAAGTTCTCAAGAAGAAGCACCCGAATACAAAGGGAATGAGGACATCTACGCTATCTAATGTGGATCGACAGGTCTTAGCTGTAAAGATCTGAATTGGTCTGAATATTTGACATGAAAATAGCAACAGAGTAATGAGAGTCTAATGATATGTTTGTAAGGTAGAAAATAATTCATCACCCACAAGGCTGCATAAATGCTTTTGGACTCTACCAAAGTTGGAAAGTGAAGATTGATCTGCTTCATCCCAGATATAGCAGCAATAATCCAGTTTTTGGTCTGATATATACCTTTTTTTTTTTGTTTATATTTTACTCTTCTGAAGTCGTTCTGCAATGCAGTTTTAGTTTAATAAAGGTTCTGAGGACAAAAATTTGGCTCATGGGAATAATTGAAATAGAGAGTGGCAATTCCGTGGATGGGGAGTTTCTACTGTACAGCATCCAACTCCAACTTTATTAACATGCTCAAATATACACAACTGACACTTATCAAGATCTACAATAGGTCAACAGCTTTTTATACTTAGTAGTGTCTGTTCAAAAGTTAGCTCTTGGAGAGTAATTTCCCCAAAGTACTCACCAAGGCACTGTTAACCAATGTGAGATGCCATCAAGTAGGTATTCTTTGGAAATGTTATTTGGCAATAGGGAAAATGCATTCATGTATTTCCTCAGGATATCAGTGCTAATATAAAGAACTTCAGCCCAAACCATTATACTTATGCATACTTAAACTAATGCAATTTGAATTCAATATGGATAATCAATATGGGTTTCCAACTTTTCTATAAATTCAGGTTCCATTACATCATTACATAGCTGCAGTCCATTCTAGATGTTTCTAGATGTTCAGAGAACTTTTAAAACAAAATCTTAATTTTGATTCTTTGAATAGTTCAACTCTTTCCTTCCTTCCCCATGTTATAAATCTCAAAAGTAATCATTCTAAAAAAATAAAATAAAAAATTCTTAAAAAAAAAAAATTCTAGGAGTAAAATTTAACAAGTAGACATTTCCTCAGAAATTCTAGAAAAGTATGAAAACTCAGCCATTTTCATTTTGAACTCTTCTTAGCAAACCAAACAATTTATTATTTATAAAAATCATTTTTATAGAGATAGACAATATAGATTATTGTAAAGTTTGTCTTTTTTTGCTAGATGTGTATAATCTATCTATTCCCAAATTTTTAAGAATGAGGTAAATAAACCATGAAATATTAAGAAATTGAACTTTATTACTTCCAAATATATTTTTCTGATTTTGTCAAACTTTCCAATCGTCAAAGTTTTTTTTCATTTTTTATAGATAACCCGATACATTGAAATTAAACAAAAAGGAAAAAAAGATGACATCACACAGTAGATTTTTATCCTTCGATCAAGTGTGAAACATAAACATTTTCCAGGATCATCAAGTTCAGAACTTACGCTCTGCATTTCTTCAATAAGAATACATGTGCAATTAGATGCACATGTACATTTCCTGACATGGTTATTTAATTATTAACATTCTGCATTATTCGCAAGTCAACAAAATAGTCAATTTGGATCTTCAAAAATTTAAATGCAATGTCTTCTTAATTCATGTTCTTTTATTGTCCTTTCTCTTTAATAATGTTTACTTTAACATCTGTCTATATTTCTGAGATGAGGTGTTGTAACTATTTACATTATTTACATTATTTGGACTGTTGTCCTCATCTTTATTGTCATATTCACAACATTTTGACCATTGTACTTCTTCAGGTGATATGTTGGAATTTTGAACCAAACCTTTTATTTAGTCTGCTGGAGTAGATTGTTCTAGTTCCACATGCAATGTCTTTTCTGGATATCTCAGTTTAAGTTAATTCCATTTAGTAACTCAATCAACTCTCCAAGTTTTTGTCCACACTGCTGTGCCCAGGTATTGAACTCATAATTTTAGGTCAAGTCACTTTTTGGATTATTCAACCAACACTTTTATCCTCTGGACCATAGATCCTTCAATATGACAAGATGAGGACAACATTTTGAACAGTGTAAATAATGTAAATAATGTTTTCTATTTCTCATTCTCTCACATTCAGTAACACCTTGCATCTTAGTGGCTTTATTGCCTTGCTTGATAAAAAATGATAAAAAAGAAAGTATTTTCTCTACATTTTACTGTATATGGAACCTCTCAACTACAGTAGCTTAGTTCTTGATTTCAGTCAAGGTCATTTTCAGTGTTGCCATAAAAGAATATGATAACCCAATTTTGTAATTAATACACACTATTGTTTGGTAACTGGAGATACCTACAGTTTTTACTTGACAAATAAATTCAACTACAAAATGCTAGTTTCAGAAAAATATGCATTGTTACTTTAAAAAAGAATCATAAATTATCTTAACATCAAACTGGACAAAAGTAATTCAAATTAAGGAGTTAATATAATATTTGACATGTTGAAGTTGTGGAGCTGACCTTGTGGTATAGAAAATAGCCTCATTGCACACTTCACACTCATGACCTTGGAAAAGTCATGAGACCATCTCTCTCAAATACCCACTACTATTGTAACCTAGTATAACCTGTTACTTGAAAAGAAGTAAGTAAAACCATTTGCCCAAGAAATGTCATGTAGGAACCAGTATGGTTTTCTGATCAGGATATAGAATTATTTGATATTTTAAACACAGTTTTTCTCAAAGAAAACAGAAACAGTTATGAAGATAGCAACAACTGGATACAATAATCTAAAATTGGCTGTTGACACTCAATTCTTTGGACAGGTGAGAGAAAAGCCAATGAAAATTATTTATTTTTACCTTTAACAATTTCCTCCCAGAAATCACTTCGGGACTTTCCCAGTAATTTCATCTTAAAATCCATAAAGAAATTGTTGAATTCATTTGGTTTATTATTCTGTGAAGAAAAAACAAAAAAAATCAAGCCAATTTATGAAATGACATTTTCATATGATTGAATGTGAAATATATGGGGTGAGTAATGGAGCTGCTAACAAAGTTGGTAATTTATCAAATGTATCTTTGACTATTTCATCATTTTCTGCTGTCAATTCTTCTCTTGCAACTTAGATACTAATTCTTAAAATTAAAAGATTGTAGGGAAACCCCAATGACTTGTTAATGTTTAGTATGTATTTATAGTAGTTGGAGACTTGGTTTTTCATTTGTAATCAGTCTTTTGAAAAGATATTCTATTATATTAATCTTATAACAGCAAATTTCACTATCCACAGCTATTGAGCTTTGGTTTATTTTTGCTTTACAGCATATCAACCTCAATGGGTTATTTAATGCCAACAAAATTTTTATTGCTGGTAATATATTTTTTTTTAAAAATGTATTGTTGGTAATATTTTTTCAAAAATGTATTGCTGGTAATAAATTTTCCAAAAAAGTACTGCTGGTATTAAAATCTATTTTTATACTTTCATAGTGTTTTGACCCCCCAGTTTCGGGGTTAACTATTTGACCATAGATGGGAACACCAGCAATTATGAGGTGGTTCCACACTCCTCAAGACCTCCTGATCAGAGGCCTTGCTACCAGATGTAGTTTATCGTTTTACCCAGGACGTGGATGTAGTTTATTGACTTACCCAGAATGAGCTTTGATCACATTAATTCAAAAGGAATATATTTGCTAACAATAGTAAAATTAAATATCAATGTTTAGAATTCTTTACAAATGAAAATATGGTGTAACAAAACCAACCAAAGGATGGTAATTAAAAACTTAGAGACTTAATGGTGCATGTGTGTCTGTGAGTGGTAGGTAGGACAATAGGCTAGTGGATTAAAGTGTTAGTTCCTGAATTTGGTGACATAATAATTGTGAGTAGTACTGAAAATAAGGAGGCATAGTGGAGTAATGGATAGCGGCTCAGATTGCGGAATGAGAGGGGCAAGTTTGAATTCCAGTCAAATCCATTACATTCACTTACGTGCTAATACCCTTGGGAAAGGTATGAATCCTCTACTTCTCACCCAAGGACAGACGAGGTTCTATAGCCTTGGATGGCAACTGGTCTATCGCAGAAAGAAATGGCAAACTACTGTGGAAAAAAATCTGCCTCGTCAGTCATGTATCAAAAGATACATGATGACCTAATTTAAAAGCAAAATGGTTTTTAGTTACATTAAATTCAAAATATAAAGGGAACACCCCTGTGTAAGCCTCCTTCTGGATATTGGTAACTTATTTTTGTTTTTGCTTTTTACTAAGAATTTGTTTTAGTATTTCATGTCGACATATTGTTAAATTTCTCAGAATAATTCTGAAGACAATTTGGATAAAAAGAAGATAAAAAGTTACCAATATCCAGAATGAGGCTTACACAGGAGCATTCTCTTTATATTTTGAATTTAATGTTACTAAAAACATTTCGGTATTAAAACTTGCCTTGATAAAATCAAACTGACAAAACGTATCGGCAATGACTAAGAAATATATTTTCCAATTGTCTTCTTTTTATCCATAATAGGTAGTGTAGCTGTTTCAGGCAAAAGACCCAAAGAGGAACACTTGGCTGATTTAGTTAGAGGTATCTGTTTGGTTTAGTTTATTTATAACCTGAAGTGCTAAAAAATTAAAAACAGTGTTTCATTGGATGGTTTAGCTCTCCATCATTTGCAGAAATTAAACTTGGACTTATTATATAAATATGGCATAATAGGTAATGTAGCTGTGGCAGCCAAAAGACCCAAAGAAGAACACTTGGTTGATTTCCGAATTTTTTTCATTGGCACCAAAATTCTTCAGATTTAAACTCCAATGAACACAATTTAGTTATGGAAAGTCCTGGGACATGTCCAGATAGCAATTCCAGCATTTCATAAACTCCAAGCATAGTTATTAAGATGTTGTTATTCAAGTGAAAGATAGAGGAGAGAAGCATGCTATTAATTAGGTGTGTGTGTTTGGTACTTTAGTTTATAAAATATTTTTAGAATTAATTCAAGTACAATAGACAGAGACCGATACAAACATGATTTGAAGAGACAATATCCAACATTGTCAAGATTTAAGGGGCATTTTTCAGACAAATAGGAAAAGCAATGTCATACCACAATAGATTCTTTTCTCAGTATCTTCAAACATTCCATAGCTTTTTTGTAAAACTGGTTACCAATTGATTGTGTGACAATTTTAATAATCTGCTTCTGCATTTGTTCACTCACTGCAAATCAAAAAGTATATGAATGGGATTTAATAAAATTTCTTGTGATATGATGAAAAGGGGTTTTAATCAAAGAGAACAAAAGCACAAATTATCATATTTTTTAGACTAAGTTGTTCTTTTTATGCCAACCACCATTTCTAGCCGAGAAATTAGTCATGACAGGCTTTGTGTATAAGTGTAAACATACAATAGGGCTCTCTCTCCCAGTCTCACATTGACTGAACAAATCATTCCATATTGTGTCTCTAGTCTTGCCTGCATCGGTGTGCACAAAAACTGAGAAAGGAAACAAAAAGTGAAAATATCCCCATGATGAGAAATGAAACGGTAAATCATGTTTCCAATTTGTTTGTTTAATCAGGAATTCACTTAGATGGTCAAGTAGGTGGGTTGCTTGGTAGGTAAGTGACAATTAGGAAAACCTCTGACATGACAGACTAATGGATCAACTCTTCCTATTGATCACTCTTCTGTCCATCTGTAGATCATGATGAGTAGCTGTCAATTTACCCATGAGTGGCTTGAAACTATACTCTAATAAGTGGTCATGAATACCTTATGTACAGCCTGTCCCCTGCCAACAGACATGTATCAGAACTACGCTCAATTCTAACTGTGACTGTTTATATAAGCCTGTGAGCAGACTTTTCTAACTTCCAGCCAAGTGGCACTTGTTCCTGAAAGTTTTCATTTATTTCTTTCATTCAGTGGGTTGCCACTTTGAAGGCCTTTCTTTGTACACTTTACAGCTGGTAATGAAAAAAAATAACAAAACACATGACATTACAGACATATAAAACCATTTACTGCCTGCTTCTCTGTGGATGTCCTGATCCACTTGTGTTGGTGAGCCATAGTTTCATATAAAACACAATACATTATGTTAAGAAAGAATTATATTACATGGAATTTGAAAACAGCTTTTAAGAAATTCATGATAAACTAATGAGTGAGGCTTATATACTAAATATGAAAGAAAAAAATATTTGCAAAAATATTTTACATTTCTACTGATGTATTTATTCAACTCACTTAGGACAGAACATCCTTCTTTCTTGTAAAAGACTGTTTACTATTTTTCAGTTGGTGAAGCTGACAGTTGCTCTTAACCCATTTCTATTGTTGCTGTAACCTAGGGAAGGTTACTGAATAAAATAATCGCATGAAGGTTGGTAATGAACAATAATACTTAGGACAAGAACAACACATATAAGATTTGTCAGCAGCACATAGAAGTAGTCAACTGCTAGAATTGAATTCAACAATGAATTGCCAACTGCAGGATATCTACCAACCACTCCACGCGGTCAGATGTGGCACAAGGCCGAATTTAATGTGGGGTATCTGAGCCCATAGGCTCGGCCAAAAATTCCCTGTAGACCCCATTTAAAACAGTCAGGTAGCCATTTCCCAAGACAAGACTCAGCCCTTCGACATAGCCTTGTCTGGGGATCCTCTCTGCCTGGAAGCAGAAAGTTTGACCAGCACAGCTGGATATGAATCTCCAACTGCAGACCAACATACAGTATTTACTACTGTATTTATGTGAATGTGGATATACCCATTATCATTCATAGGTACACTTTTGTTTTTACCATCATTATTATACATGCAAATAACACCCACACAAATATGGTCATCATGCATAATTGAGTTGTTGATACAAGAACAATGCCTATATTTATGCGAAAGAATTGTTTCTTCAAACAGCAGAGAAAAAACAGTAAAGCAACATGTAAAATTAATCAACTTTAAGAAAAAATCTAATTCAGTGTTTCTCAACATTTTTAAGCAAGGGAACACTTAGAAGCAAATGAAAATATCACGGCACATTTAGTAAAAGTTTTAAAGGGTATACATTTAAATGTTATGAAATAAAACCATAGATTAAAAAAAAATATACACACAAATAAGAACTTAATTTATTTCAGTGTTTCTATTCAACTATTCAAATATTTCTATTTAAAAAAAACTTTTAAAAAAAAATCAATATTAAAACAAAGCATTTAAAGCATTTAAAGCATTAAAAAAATATACACACAAATAAGAACTTAATTTATTTCAGTGTTTCTATTCAACTATTCAAATATTTCTATTTAAAAAAAACTTTTTAAAAAAATCAATATTAAAACAAAGCATTTAAAATAACATAATTGAAGAATAGTGAAAAGAATTATTTTGAAAAAGAGTTTAATACATATTCATTTATTCAAATACTAATGCTGTACTATTACTACTTACACACACATTTATATGAAAAATTTCTCAGAGTTAACCTGTAGAAAAAGACAATATTTATAAATGTAAAAGACAATAAGAAAACTGTAATAGTTGCCGACATGTTTTGTCAAATGTGAACTTTTTTAAGGCAAAAAACGAAATGAATTTATTAAACAAAGTAACTAATAATAACAAAACAAAATGTCCTTAGCAACTGGAAGAATTTAGAAAATGCTATTTTCATGCTGTTAACTGAAAATTACGTCAATTACTGTCACATGTAGAGATATTGTTATTATTGTTGTGTTAACCATTTTCTTTTGATTTCACGATATTGTTGTGTACGTTTGTTTGGGAGAGTAATAATTCTGTTAAGAAAGGTAAAATAAAAAAAAAAGCCTGGGCGTAGATTAATTTTAAAAATCCTACACTCATAAAAAAGAAAATAATTCACTCAAAAGGAAAATCCTAGAGAGTGCTGCCATTGAATATTACCCAAATATTAATCTATGCCCAGGTTTTTTAACCTCTTTCACCTTTCTTAACAGAATTACTACTCTCCCAAACAGTATGAAAATAGCATTCTTTAAATTCTTCCAGTTACTAAGGACATTTTGTTTTGTTATTATTAGTTACTTTGTTTAATAAATTCATTTCTTTTTTTTTGCCTTGAAAAAGTCCACATTGGACGAAACACGTCAGCAACTATTACAGTTTTCCTATTGTGTTTTTACATTTTATATATATATATATATATATATATATATATATATATATATATATACCATGACAATATTTTGTGGCACGGCAGTTGAGAATCATTCATCTAATTCACAACAAAAGAAACTCAATAAGAACATAATTATCTGAAGAGAAAAACAAATTGTGTTATTGTATTTTTCTGTGAATAAAACAGGTCTCTTTAGAAAGAGATGCTGAAAGTATTAATTCAAAGTCTTTCTTGAGATGCTTACCATTTATGTACTGGAGTGTATAAAAAGATGGACATTTTTTTTTTAGCTTTCATCTTTTAGAGAAAAATATCTCGAACATTAAAAAATGCAGAAAGTAAAACAAAAATTTACAATTCCATTTAATGTTTTCAAAATATTTCTTTTACATTTCTTACAAAAATCATTTCAACATAAAAATAGTTTTACCTTGAACAAAGTTTTTCCCTGAATTGAGCAGCTTTTTAAAATCTTCCACGGGAGTAAGCGTACCAATCTGCAGAGAGAAAGAGAGACAACTGAAAAAGTTTGAATAATTAAAAATTTTAAAAAAATTGATTCTAAAATATAATTTTCTCTCAACACTTGTCCTGTGGACTGAAGAGTTGGTTCATGACTTAGTAACATAGTAATTAGAAGTTCAATCCCGAGGCCAGGCAGTGTATATTCAAACTTGGTGGAAACAAGCCAAGCAATAACTGAGCAGCACTAAAAATAAGAACTAGACATGGGCTGTGGAATGAGAAGCATCTACCCCCATAGATTAAATAAAGGATTCAATTTTGGATCGACAGACATCTGATGAAGGACAGAGCTGTCGAAATGTTATAATAAATAACAGTCAGCATGTAAATAGAGTAAATAATAAATGGAAAGGCTTAACATTATCACAACTACTGCAGTAAAGTCTCTGCTTTTCTTCTTTTTAAATAATAATAATCAACATATATTACACACAATATGTGTTATAACATTTTTTCATAGAGTATACATATATTACACTTTGATCCTAGAAAGAAGTGCAATTCTATATAAAAATCATTTTTACTGGTGCTATAGTAATAATAATAAATGTCATAACATAACACCAACACTACTAAGATGGTACAGTTTCTGCTTTATTTATCTTAATAATAATAATAATGAATATACCTGTGTTATTTCTGACTTTATGATATCAGCAATACTCTCAGCATCTTTCAGGTCAGCCTCGTGCGTATTTTTTGTTGTTGGTTTACTTTCAATCCTAAATAGAAAAAAAAAAAAAAGATCAAATATCACTCACAAATCTTAACTGAAAACTCTTTAAAAAGTAGATTTTGTCTTTCTGTACAACACTCTGTCAAATAACAAACAATGCCTGTCTGTATTTCTGAGATGCGGTATTATGTACACTATTGTCTTCATCTTTGTCACCATATCTATTACAACGTTTCGGCCATTGTACGCTCCAGCCTTCTTCAGTATCTGTCTATATTTCTGACATGAGGTATTATGTACGCTATTTACATTATTCAGACTATTGTCCTCATCTTTGTTGCCATATTTATTACAACATTTTGGCCTTTCAGTATCTGTCTATATTTCTGAGACATGGTATTATGTACACTATTTACATTATTCAGACTATTGTCCTCATCTTTGTCACCATATTTATTATAACGTTTCAGCTGTTGTACGCTCCAGCCTTCTTCGGTATCTGTCTATATTTCTGAGATGAGGTAATATGTACACTAATTACATTATTCGGACTATTGTCCTCATCTTTGTTGCCATATTTATTACATTTTGGCCTTTCAGTATCTGTCTATATTTCTGAGATGATGTATATAAAATTAGGTCCAAACAATAGGAAGGAACGGGTTGGGTCCGGCACCGCCTACTATAAATAAACTCCTCAGCTTCGACAGCTACAATCCAAACAAAACTCCACAGATCTTTGCACTCAAATGTTCCAACACCACCTCGTGGTTCGCTACACACAACTCTTTCGAGTGGTCTCCCCGTTGAATTTATCCCAGATAACACCAACCAATTTGCATACGCCCAAGTTCTCCTCTATATCAATATTTTTTTCTCAGATCGGCGTTTCCATAAGTCCGACTCACCGTAATGGTGATGTTTCTTTCTTGGACCAATTACTGCCCTACACGCCAGACACAAACGAACCCTCTTATGCCGAGAACTGAGGTTAGTCTCATTTTCATGTCCACACTCCCCCTGGTCTCAAGATCACACATGTGGCATTGCGGACGTTGTATTTTTTTGCGGGCAATGAAGGGGGATTGTCTGGACTTCTTCATCGGGGGCTTCAGAAGGGGCTTCAGAACTATCAGCATCATTCTTGGGTTTCAATCAAACCATCAGGCCCCGAGGGCATAGGTCGGATCCACAGTTCATCGTTGATGATTCATTGCTGCTTAGTCAACTGGTTCGTATTTAGGGCGGGCCGGACATGTTTCACATGGCGGAGTACCATCGACCAGCACTGCTTGCTATTGACGATGCCGGTGATTCGATTTTTCTTGAAAGCTGGTGGTGCACCGGTTTTCACATCCATTTCACCCAAAGGGTGTCCCCTTTTTTATTTATGGATTTGTGTTTCCGCCGATCAGGAAGACATGTTCAATAAACAAATTGCGCATTGGTAGCGATGGATTGCATTGGCGGGTGCGCTTGCAGCAGTCACGGCATCCTTTGGTGTTGCATTATATCTATAGACATATATATATAATATCGCACTGCTTCCTATATATGGCTGATTCTTCGCGCGGTGGCATATATCTGCTATGCCGTTGGAGTGTTTCGGCACATATGCACATCGGTGTCTGAGCCTGATCCCCTTTCGTATATAAACGTCTAAACTCCCGCTGCATTTATGTCGTTATCCGTGTCTGGATTTCTTCAGGCGGCCCCCTTTAAATAAAAATATGGACTCCAATTCACGGATGACACTGGATGAGTCCTGTCTTACTAATGGGCGCCAGATATAAAGAATCGTCAGTCCGCAATCTATCAGTGTGAGGAAATGGCAAATATTGGGTTATGTCCATACCCAGTCGGCCCAAAGTCGTGTAATTAAATAAGTGACCCTTCCGCCATCTAAGCTGGAAAATTTTTTCGATTGACTGGCATTTTTGGATTCCTTCACCAAATGATGCAACTTTATTTTTTTGGACACTGACGGATTGGTCAACTGTACAAAAATAGAATGTCCGTCTCAACCGGGGTGCCCACTGTTGTGGTGTATCTCCTATATTTTTGTCAAGGCCTCAACAGAGGCAGCACATTATACATACTGGCTCAACTTTTATCTTCATGGCGCCATACCATCTCTGTGGCATGCCTGTAGATTTAATCAGTATTTAAGTATTTTACAGTTTTGGTGACCTCTACACGCATCCATAGAATAGGTTTTATTTGTTACCATTTTTTTAATATGGTCTCCAACCTCCGGAGCAATCAGCATCTTAAGTGCTTGTATTTTGGGATAAAGCCACTCAATGGCCTTGCCTGTCAGTGTAAAAAAAATATCCAGTGGTACACACATAGCGAATCAGTGTATATATATATTTCCTGACTTTCCACTGGAGTGCCAGGTTGATAAATTTTAAGAACCGATTCGAGCTAATTGCCAGGTTGATTTATTTTTTAAATCATTCATTGCGGTATTGTTTTGAAAAATTCGTCCTAAAATTTAGCCCAATTATTTTCCAACATCACACCAATTTAAAAAGAGAGCTCGCCATCAATCCACAAAAACAAGAAAAGTTCGTCTCCCTGCACACACCATTTCCTTTGGCGGGGTCTGAATGATATTTTTTTTTTTAATGGTCTCCTTCACCATGCGAACAAACAGATCGTCCGTTGTTTCAAATTTTTTTTTGGTGACTAAGATTGCCCTTGTTTTATGGTACCTGTTGCCAAAATGGTCCAAAACATATGGTAGATGCCCCACAAGTCTTAACAGGGAAATCCAACTGAAATTTGAAGATTTAACCTTCAAGGAACTGCAGTTACAATGAACTTGGTCTTCGCCCTGTTGAGCGTTCAGGCCCAAAGACCAGGCGCCATCCTCCAAACGTTCTGGGTCTTTGGTGATCATACAAAACTCAGCCAGTTTGGACCTGATATGATGTCTGTGCTACGTCACATATCAAGATATATTATTATAAATATTTTGAAAATCCCCTCTTTTTGTTTCTTCCTGTGACAACACAATTCAAATCTTCATTATTTTGGGGTGCCTTAATTTGTGCCCATCTGCATTTTTTTTTTTTATTTAATTAGGACAATCCATGGTTGCAAAGTAACCACTTAGAAAAAAAAATAAAAATCAGGAAGCAGAATTATTTTTAGACAGAAGCAGGGACTTATATGAACCCTGCTGGCGCCATTCTCAGTAGCTTGCTGGCACAAACGTCATCATCTACTTGAACGCATCAACTTTTTAGTTTCCTGTGTATTTTTCACTGGCCTTTTCTTATTTTTGTTGTTGATGAACAAACCGCCATTTATGGGAAATAGGCCTTTGGGAGTTCCAAACAAAATCATGTTATTTTTATTCCCATCCTTGATCCATTCACAAATTGTACATATGGAAACTTATTTGAGGGGCTTTAATTTACTTTGAGTTATTATGGTGATTTGGCTAAGAACAAATTAAGAATGTGTTGTTTTGGTCCAAGGAATACTGTGCTGTTCAAATTCGACATAAAGTCCGGCTGGTCGATCTTCAGATAAGACAGACTGAAGACCCTTCTTCCTGAAACTCCTGCCAAAAACAAAATATTTTTGCATTAAAACAATATTTATTGATGGCATCATAGTAGAATTATGAATTAATCAAAATCAGAATGGTTTTTTAAGCACTACTAGTGCCTCAAATTCTCATTTTACAGTTCTGAAATGGATGTTCACTGTAACCACCCCGCAACACCACCAGTCTTTTTCTTCTATTGTGGAAAGTTTATATTGAATCCTCTTCTTAGGTCAGCTGATAAGAAATTTGGTTCACTGTGTCACAGTAGCAATTTTTTTCGAGGAATCTTATTACAAGAGCACAATGTCATCCATCATGAGAATATAGAACTGAACATGATCCAGTGCTCCTCATCTAATTTCTGTTTCTTGAAAAAATCAAGGGCTTTAATGTAATTTGTCCTGACCTGGCATCCCAAATCCCAGTCCATATTCCAGTCAAGAATGTGAATTCCTCTGCTTTTTCTATAAATCCTCCCAGTTCCTGGATTAAATTTGGCCTCATCATTAAACAGTTGAAATGTAAAATGTTTGGAATTCTTCTTTTCTGGGGCTGGGATTTTTGGCTTTTTCATAGTTAAGTCATGATCTTCAATAATTTAAATGCAATGTCAGTTGTTATCTTCCATCATTAAAAGATTACTGTTGTCTATCTCAGAGTTATTTTTTTTTCATCTAAATTCAGTAACCCATTGGATCTTAGTTTTTTTCATTAAATTCTTTTGGTGAAATGATGCAAAAAAAAAAAAAAAAAAAATCAATCTTTACTCAAAGGTTGGATTAGCCCTGCCATTTTATTGGGCACTAGAGCCAAGATTGGCATGGGCAGCATCTAACAGGGTAAACTGACTATAAAAAAAACCAAATATCTCTCTGGCCAGATACAAAAGCATCGAAAGAGATTGAGTTCCATTTATATGAAGTGTGGGATTTTTGAATACACGGGTTCAATTTATGCAGATAAGGTTGGTTCGAAATGCAAAAAAAAATTTGCTGATTTGATTCTCTTATAATCCTGTTTTTCCTCAACACTGAGCTGTTGATACAAGCAACCAGACTGAATGCCGAGAGGAATCACGGGTTCAATGCTCGATGTTATGCCAGACAATTAAGGAAATGCTGTTCCACTTTTCCACCTGCAAAAACACTAGTGTTGAGCCATCGAACTCGGAATCAACTTTTTTTTTTTATATTCTGTCCCCATTGTCATTTTAAGCTTGAATAAAAAAGGTCAGTCTTGTTTTAGAATGGAACGGCTAGGCTATTCTTAGGATAAGAAACACTCCTAAAAAACTTAAAATCAGCCACAATCCAAAGAAACAATAACAGAAAATGATGAACAATGAGCCAACAAAGCAGTGAGGGTTCCAGACATAACTCTCAGTGTTTATATATATTTATCATATTTATATATATAATATATATATATATACGATAAGTTCTATCTGTTGTGTGTGTGTAATTTAGATCAAATTTCCATAAGTCCAACAAACATTTGGTGTTGATTCTTTTATGGACCAATTATTTTTACACGCCAAACACAAAAACCCTCTTTTGCGAGAACTGAGGTTAGTCTCAGAAATTGTCCACATTTTGAAGAAATATGTCCAGGCTTTAAATTATTTGGACTATCATCCTCATCTGGTCCAATATTTATTACAACGTTTGATAAAACCTGCTGAAGAAGGCGGAGCGCATAATGTATAAACATTGTAATAAATATGATGAAAAAAAATGAGACAATAGTCCAAAAAACAATTAAATAATGTAATAAACAATGTGATCTTTAAATTTTTGTCAAGTTTTATTTTTGCAACAAAAATGAAATGTTAAGAACGAAATGAAATTTTTTTAAAAAATACAATCACTTCCAAAATTGCCCATAACATTTATTTTTTTGTTTTACTGGAGGTCATTAAAGTACAGGAAAATCAAAAATTTTTATTGTTGGAATACCAAGAACATTAAACAATGAATTAATTTCAATATTAATCTTATTATTTTGCTAGATGAATCATTGTCAATCATTAAAAATAAAATCAATTAAAGCAGTAGATATAATTTTTTTTTTTTTTTAAACAATAAAGATATTTTATTTTTATCCACCATCATAAAGACTGAAAAAATAAAATTGACAAAAGATTATTGTTGAATAACCGGACACAAAATGTCTTAAAATTTTTTTTTTTTATAAAATCTCAAAATAAAAATTAAAATTAAAAGTTCATTTTTGTCAATCATGTTATGAGTCTCTACTGATTGAAAAAAAATTTTATTATAAACAATTGTCTTGTTGAAAATGGAATTTTCTTAAGCATTCTGAATTTTAAAAATTGGTTTTAACTGCGATTATGAAGACAATGAATAAAACACTAAATGATAAAAAAAAATACATTTTTTTGTTTTCTTGTTTTAAAAATGTAAGGTATACTATTTATTTTTAGATTTACAATTTACAAGAATTTTACTTATTGAATACAGTAAAAAATTGCATATTTTTCATTCATCAATTGATTCATAATTAGAATTCTGATTTGAATATATTTTTTGAATGTTTATTAATTTACAAAAATATTAAATTTATTTGGGTTTATTAATTTATGATCTTTTTTAAATCTTATTCATTTAGTAGCCTTTCTGTAATAATAATCTTTTACAATTTATGATTTTTAAGAATTAAATACCATAAAAAATTGGACACCATATGTATTTAAATAGTTTATATATATATATTTTTATTTTTAGTTAGAACTTGTGTATGTTTAGATTTCATTAACATAAAATAAAGATTTATCCGATATCCACCATTCAAAGACTGAAAAATAAAAATTGACAAAGATTATTGTTTAAGGTTGACGGACACGCATGTCTTTTTTTTTTTTTTATTTTTTATGAATTGGTCAAACCCAAACTCAAACAAAACATTGTTTTCAATCGTTATGAGTCTCCCGATTGAATAGAATTTTATTATAAATAATTGTCTTGTAAATGGAATTTTAAAGCATTCTGAATGTTAAAAATAAAGAAAAAAGTGTGCAAGAGAATAAGAAACACTACCTGC